CACCGGTGCGCTTCGCCTGCTTCTAGACGGCGGATCAACTGGCTGACTATCCTGGTCCACAGGTGGAGGAGGAGGACCAGGGAGTGTTACGGTCAGTTCTTTGATCGTTTTCTCCGTAAGGTACTCTTCTATAATATCTTGAGGAACAGATTTGATGATTATAAACACGAGCTCTAGTTAAAGAGATCACTTAAAAATACTTTTTTTCCATGTGACGCAAAAGCAGATGTTAGGCAGAATGACACTCATGTACTTTCACTGCATGAGAAAAAAACATGGTGACTGCGGCTGCATAACAGCTCCTTTTGTGTTCCATGGAAAGTCATTGAGTTGGAACGACACAAAGGTGAGTAAATAATGACCGAATTTTTGCTGAACTATCCCTTTAACACCACAAAACACGCAATATATTAAAGAACAAACAAAGTGGTCAACCAAGGTCACCTCACAATGACGTCACATCTGCACTCACCTAGATCTAGGGCTGCACAGAGGGGCATGATGGGAAAAAAAGACAAGAAACACAGTTAAACATGCGCATTTCCGGAAAACGAAACTGAAAGCAACTTTATTTATTTATTTATATAACATATAAAATTAGCTGTTAATGACAAAGTCGTTTGATAAACGTGTCTGCAGCCGCTTGATTTTATTATCAGCTAATAAACAAATGGCCTAAAATGAGTCCTAAAACATATCAGATGATAAACATACTTCTCGACAGATTATAAACATTATTTTTGCGGCAGTAAAAAAGGAAAGACATTCGCGGGCCTGTGTTGTTGTTTCAATACAGGCCTGTAACTTTGGAAACACCCACTTCTCTTAGAAAATAACTTAAGTTTCGACGATACCGTGAACTTTCTTGTCATAAAACGTGATATGGCGATAGCTGTTGTTCAAGTCGAGTGCATAACGCGCACATAATGCACTGCTTAGGCGTAAAGTAGAGCAAATGAATATTCCTCAAACATGCTGAATCAGAGGGACAACAGGGCCGAAGTGAAGATGTAAGAAACTGAACTGACCTCCCGCTGCGCCGTTCCCAACGCTCATATTTCTCATTGCAGGCACGAAGTAGAAGACAAATGAGTCTCGTTGGTTCCTACACTGTCGTGGGTCGTTATTGTGTTGAATCGCAATCCTCCGAAACCGCGATCAGATCATCAGTCCCGCGTTATGGAGTCATTTCCGGGTGCTTCGCCTGTTTTTTTTTGGAAGCCTGAAGTTAACGGAAGCTTTTTTGGGAAAGAAATCTCGAGAGCAAATGAGAGACCGCTGTATCTGTGGCTCCTCCACTAACGATTGTGACATGACAAACACCTCTTTCACTTGTTCTCTTGGTAAGCTACAAGAGGGCTGATCTGGTGGGTGGAAATCCCCCTACGTCACAACTGGGTAAACCCCAAGGTTCATCACCATGACAACGACTAACAACAGGTGAGTTTCAAGAAAGCGCACCAATAACAGGTCAATAGAACACCGTCCTAACATAACCGATACATCAAGTAATTCAAATGTACGATTGGAGGAATTAAATTGCTTATATACCATTTTAAAAATATTATAAATAAATATATATACACTACCGGTCAAAGGTTTGGGATCAGAACGATTTTTAATTTCTCTTCAGACATCATTCTAATATGTTGATTTATTATCAGTGCTGGAAACTGTTGTGCTGCTTCATATTTTTTGGAACCTTTGATACTTTTGTTCAGGATTCTTTGATGAATAAAAAGATAAAAAGAAGAGCATTTATTTAAAATATAAATATTTTCTAACAATATACACTACCGTTCAAAAGTTTGGGGTCAG